ATTCTCAAGTTCAAAGTCAAACAAAGAATTTGAAGAATCAAAGACAAAAGCTTCAAAAATATAATAAAGAATCAAGAGAAAACTCTCAATGTATTTTTATTTCAATCAAAACTCAACTCCTTTCTCCAAACAAAAGAATGGGGTCTTAAATAGAACTCTAACAAACCTACTTAATATAAATTTAGGACTCCTAAGAAATTTCTAATAAAATAACTCCTCTGCAATCCCTAATTAAATAATAAATAGGATAGAAATCTTTAATTAAATAACTTTTCTATTAAGTAAAACACTAGAATAATTAAATAATTTAAATAACAATAAAATAAAATAAAAGGACTAATGATGTAACGATCAAACAGAGTCTCCATCAAAATCTCAAAACGGTGAACTAATTAATATATGTAAGATGTTATATGGTTGTAAGTAATAATGATATGGACGTTTAATAATTGGTGGCAGTTAGGTATTAGTGGTTGGTTAGAATTGTTTATCCTTAAAGTTAAAAGTCTATATTTAATTTCAGTTAATTAAGATTCTTAAATAAAAAAAAATTCAATTTAATATCAAATCCTCTAAACTTGTTCAAGATAAATCCTCGCTTTAAGTGAATTTGTTCAATAGAAATCATCGCTTCTAATGTTGCAGGTATTTTTTTATTTTTTATTTTTTTCAAAATGATTGAAGATATTATTGCACGAAATGATGGATTCTTTTACGGAAAAAAAAGATAGAGAAAAGTTGTGGACAAAAAAGAAACAAATAAGTAAGGGGTGGACAATAATAGGAAGGCCGTATTTAGTGAATACGGTTTTTAAATTTTTTATTTGTAAAACGTATTCCGTGAATACGGTTTCCTTTGTAAAAAAAATGTAAAAAACGTATTTAAGGAATACGTTTTTTAATTAAATTACACAGAAAACGTATTCACTAAATACGTGCTTTCTATTTTGGTCCACTCCCCCTCTTTTTTTTTGTTTTTTGTCAACTTATTATTTTTTTATAAATAAATATATAACTCCGCCCGAAATGATGCAGGTATACTTCAGAGTGAAAAATTTTGGACAGCTCAACTTCTAGATTATTAATGTCATTTTAATATTTAATCAGGCAACTAATAAGTATAAATTCGGCAAAGAATTTCCCTCCTTTTTTATTATTATCTATACTTATACTTATATAATAAGAATTAACATTTATCAAAAATAGTAGGTCAAATTATGGTCGGATTTGCATTAAATATTTTTCAAAACTGGTATTTTGTCCTTTTCACACTTCTCATTAATTATGTCCTTTTCACACTTCTCATTAATTATGTCATTTTCACACATCTAATTAATTCATTGATTACGACATAATTATCATAAATCATTTCATCTGAGCTTTTATCGTTAAAATGTATAGCGATCTGTTATGACCTTATCCCATTGATATTTCCATGAAGCGTCCTTATCGCGTTCTATTTTTTGGTAACCACTCTATATCAATAACCAAATATTTAGTTAATGATAGCGCACGTATTTATTTCAAGGAGCGGATATTCTTTGACCTTTAATTAATCTGAACTGATTGCCTTGACTTTTTAATTTTTAAAAACACTTTTTTTTAAATATTTCGGCTTAAGATTCGGATTTCATTATACAAGTCATCGGATTGTTTGAACGAAAATGAATGAAAAGAACACCAAAAACAGGTAGCCTTATTCATATAGCCAATCCTAAAATATTAGTTTGTTCACCAAAAAGAGACAAATCCTAGAAATCTTAAAATATTAATTTGTTCACGAATCCTAAAATATTAGTTTATTCACCACAAATATTAGTTTGATTTTTAGGATTTGTCTCTTTTGAAAATATTAGTTTGTGATAATGAGGAGTTACCAATAATCAAACTCATAATGTTGTGTACAAGGAGGTTTTTAATAATATATGATTGTTACCGAACTTTTTATGATTCAACAATGTTCCTATGTATTTTAATGATTTCAATTTCAATCCTAATGCACGTGAGGTTATATTATTCTTCCAAATTTTACATCCCGTGCATCGCACGGGTTACGTAATAGTTATTATTATTTAAATAATTTTCTTTAATTGGAGTATTAAGCAACATTCTTTTGTTTGTTTAAACTGTAGTTGGTTCACTGCATGAATATAATTATATTTAATAATATATATTTTTAATATTATATTCTCATTTTGTAGATTTTAAATAAGTATATATGTTTGAATAATAAATATACACACATCTATGTGTGAAACATATAATAAAATTTAATGAGATTCTTTACATATAAATCATATATATGGTTAAGTATTATAAAAAATAATAATTTGATAGTCGTTAAATACTTTATTTTTTTATATATTAAAATAGTTTATGGAATAAAAATAGAATAGAAGTTTTCGTACTTTTTATGTTAAACTTTCTTTTGTAATGATAATGAAAAAAATAACATATTAAAAAATAATATTAATAATAAAATTAAAAGTATATAAAATATCTTTATCTAAAAATGAAGGTAGAATTTTAAAAAATTATTAATCGCTACGCGGACGTTGCAATGAAAAAGGAGTCCAATTTTCAAGATCAACTATATTATCTTTTTATATTTAAGGAGAAGAAAAATAAGATAGAAGAAAGCTGCCTTTATCATTTTACAATACTAAATAATTACAGCTAAAAACATAAAAATCGAGGAGGTTGTTATGTATATTATTTTTTTCATTTACGAATAAGACATGTGAACTTAAATCACAATCATATTTGGTGAAAGATAATTCACAATCCACACAGAAGCACTAACAATTAACTTCTGTTAACAGAAATAATATGCAAGAACAACAACATTAGGACGTAGACAAACACAATGGACAATAGTATATGCATATTCGTGAAAGTTGGGGATTTACCCTATTTATTGTAATATACGTATCAATTATTCGCACTTAAAAATAATAGGTAATTTAAAAAGTATAGATAAATTTTCAAATAAGAGATACACCCGTTAATCTAATTTTGCATTCTTTGAGATATGAAGCCGAGCATCATCCATTGATGGATAGTCTTTCATTCTTCTAAATAGTTTTGTATATGGGTTTACATCCAAAATGCGTGAGTTTGTTAACTACACATTCAGATAATGACGAGTTTTGAAATATGTTCATTCTATTATCGACCTCTCTACTGTTTTCACTAAATACAATTGAAAATATCCAGGTCCATCTTCTTTAAGTAATAAGCTATGAAGGTCACGATACACTACTCCTTGAACATGAAAAGTATAGAATCATTTGTCTTGCAGATGCAAGTTCTGTATCTAATTTGACCCCTAATGATGTAAAATAAACATGTTGTTAAATAGACGAATGTTTATCTGAAGCTGCTTTGCTTTTTCCGTCTGTGAAGTGAACAATTCATATAATTCGTCAGGGACCTCAATATGATCAAGTTTGATTTTTCCATTATTCCAACAAAATATTCGACACTTGTACTGAAATTCATAGCACTCATGTATCGCCAGACACACATGCCATTTGATAATTGAGTCTAAAAATTGAAAAAACAACATATGTCAATTATTTAAATCATATAAATGAACGGAAGACCTAATTTGTTTTTCATCTGTACAATAATACTAAAGTATTGATAATAGTATATCTATAGCAAATAAAATTAAATACAATATAAATCGATACCTATGTTAATTAATGTATTTTTTTCATAAAGTGATAAATTAATATTTTTTTCTTAAGGAAAATTTTTATTAGTTATAGTCATGGGTGAATCATGGTTTTCGATGAAGTGATACGTACTAATTGCAACTCATATTATATTTGTGTTAGAAAGATAAATTAAGAGTATCATATTAAAAAATAAAAATCAATATTTCTTCTAAAATAATTTATTACTAAAAAAACTTCGTAACATTTTTTTTTTTCTTTTAGCATTGTCTGTATATTATGAAAAAATATTTAATACTTTCTTTATTACTATAAACACTGTGTATGAGATTTACAAATCTTTTCTCTTAGCATTATTTTTATTATTGTAAACAAGGTGTGTGTTTTACAAAGCTTTTCAAATGAAAAAATATTTATTTTACGCGTTATAGATCGAACATTTCATTTATAAATGTATATGATTTTGATTTACAAATTTATCGAAAGTTTATTTTACGATATGTCTATATATAAACAATAGCATGAATAATTTAGGTGCTTTATTTTTTAATAATAGTTCAGAAATATTTTAGGATATGCATATAAACAATAACATAAAAAATTAATAATAGCTTAGAAAATTTGAGGAGATTCTAAACGTCCTTAAAAAATTATAAAATATTTTATGTATTTATAGACATGTTATATACATTTTCAGTGCTTTTAATATTTTAGATAGATATGTATTTTTGCCCATGTTAAATTTTATGTAGTATTTCAATAAATCAATGTAGATATTATTTAATATTATTTATCCGTTCAACATGAGGGCAAAACATGAATTGTTAATTCTCTTGCCTTGTTTGTTGTTCTTCATAACGGCATTAATTATTTGTAACTTGGAGTATAAGAACGGGTTATCTATGTGTCCATTATGGTCACATTTGACTCTCATTGACTGAAAATCAACCAAAACTAGGCTCAAAATTGAAGATTATCCTAAGTGACACCCTTCATATTATATAGTCAACAACCTTTTTCAACTGCAAACTTGTGTCCGTACAATCCCGGTTCAGTTTGTTAGGTATTGAAAAAAAAACTACCTTGGACCGGCCACCATTTTCTCTTGAATTAAAGTAAAAAACAAGAACAAAGCCATTGCCATCAAACACAGATGAAATTACCTTAAATTCCTTCATCTCCACCTGGAAATCAGATATATAATCGTTTTTTCTTTGTTTCTTTGTTCCTTTTTTTCTCCTTTTTCCGTAGGTAATCTATCGAAAAAGAAGAAAAAGATTCAAAAAGGAAATAAAGATACAGAACATTAAATTAAAAAAAATGGCTGATGGAAATGGAGGAAGTGAAGGTTCAAGGGAGCTCGACCAGACTCCAACATGGGCCGTTTCGTTAGTCTGTTCGATTATCATCCTTATTTCCATATTATTGGAGAAAACTCTTCACAAAGTTGGAGGGGTATTTTTTCCTTTTCCCCCATTTACTTTTCGGAAAAAAAAAAAACTCACACCCATTTCACGTATATTTTCGTTTTGTTTGACGCCCGTTTTAGAAGGTTTTGTAAAAAAAAAAAAAAAGATAATGCAAATTGGTATTTTGGCCTTCCTTTTAACGAACGATTTAAACCCGGTTTTCGAATTACAAAATGGGACTGCTTCCGAGTTTTGTTATCTCTGTCTTTTGTTATGTTTGCAGACTTTCTCAAAGAGAAAGAAGTTTTCTTTGCTTCAAGCTCTCGAAAAAATTAAATCCGGTAAGACTAGCTTCAACAATATATAGTCTAAACCATTGGACTAACTGTTTTTTTTTTCTTTTTTTTTTCTCATTATTTTTTTTTTCAGAGCTTATGATTCTTGGCTTCATTTCGTTAATTTTGACCTTCGGTCAAAACTACATTACCCGTATTTGCATACCCGAGAGATATGCCAACACCATGTTGCCTTGTAACTTGAGGAGGCCACATTTTCATGAAGGAGATCAAGAAAATCACCACCACACAATCGATAAGAGGAGACTATTATTAAAGAGATTGATTTTAAACGGTAATGGGGATGATCTTCACCGTAGGCTCCTGTGGGACCAGGTGCACAGGATCTTGGCTGCCGATCACCCGGCCAAAGAGTGTGAAAGCGTAATTATAACTAAATTCAACAATTCATATCCACTCTGTAATTAGTAAAGCATTAAAAATCTTTTTCACCGTTTATGCACTGTAACAGGGTTCTGTGCCGCTTATATCTACACATGGATTACACCAACTGCATATATTCATATTTTTTTTGGCGGTGTTTCACGTCATTTACAGCGCTACAACAATGAGGCTCGGGAGGATGAAGGCGTGTACTTTGTTCGTTTTATTTTTTTTGCTGTGATTTATACGATTTTTTTAGTAGCTTTGGTATTATAACGTATCGTGATTATAAATATTATTAATTTAGGTGTGTTTCGTTTTTCTGGTATGATCATATCATTGTCGGGCGCAGATTCGGGAATGGAAAGAATGGGAAAGAGAGAGCGAACATGCGACTAAATCATCCAACGGTTAATTTATTAATTAACTTCTTAATTAGCACATATGGTTTCTCAGTTATTTTCTAGTTTTGTTGTTTAAAGTTTTTTTTTTTTTTTGAAAATTTATCATACACAGATCCGGATAATTTTAGGCTCACGCACGAGACATCTTTCGTGAAAGGCCACAACAGCCCGTGGGCTAGAAAACCGGTGTTTTTTCACATTGTGAGAACAAATTAAACTTTCTTCACCATGGCATTATTAGTAGAGATATATCAAGAAATTTATCCTTTATCACAATGTGAATTTTCGTTTAGAAAGTAGTTAACTTTTTATACTAGGGTTGCTTTTTCCGACACATCTTTAGGTCGGTTCGCAGGGCGGACTATTTGACCTTGCGTCATGGATTCGTATCGGTGGGCTTTCTTATTTATTTATTTATTTATTTTTTCAATCAAAATGTGCATTGTTAAATGAATTCGAATTCACAATATTGTTCGAAATGTGATGTTGTATATAGGTCCATTTGGCTCCGGGAACTAAGTTTAATTTTCAAAAGTACATTAAGAGGTCGTTGGAAGACGATTTCAAAGAGATTGTCGGAATACAGTACGACTTTTGCTCCCTCGTTAAAAGCTTACTATATATATATATATATATTCAATTTATTTTTACTATTTTTTCGTCTGGTGTGAATTAACTTTCATCGTGATACTCTAATTCAGCCCGGTGTTATGGTTTGCTGCTGTGGTGTATCTTCTTGTGAACGTCAAAGGTTTTTTCTATAAATTAACACAAATCATATAACTTTTGTTTTGTTTGCTATAAATTAACACAAATTATATAACTTTTGTTTTGTTTTGTGTTTTAACTTAGGATGGCAAGCTATGTTCTGGCTCTCGATTATGCCTTTAGTGGTAAGATTCGCGTACAAAACACGCGCTGCTTAGTTTACGAAAAAATCAAGGACATTTTTAGTAGTTAACAAGGAAAGACTAATTGATTTCTTGATTTGGTAAAGATAATTTTATCAGTCGGGACTAAGCTGCAATCGATCATAACTAAAATGGCAATCGAGATACAAGAAAGGCACGTTATTGTTCAAGGGATACCACTCGTCCAAGTATCCGACAGCCATTTTTGGTTCCACTGGCCTGAGTTCATTCTTTATCTCATTCATCTTACGCTCTTTCAGGTCGAAAAAAAGTACATTTTTTTTCTTTTTTTTTTTTCTTTTTTCATTTTTGAGTTTTTTTGGGTCTTGTGTTGTACAAACAACTCTGATTTTCGTAATTCTTCTTGTTCCTCTTACTGTTTTTTTGCAGAATGCGTTCGAGATAACGTATTTCATTTGGATAACGGTAAAAAGACCCGAGCCTCATTTCCATTTCCTTTTTTTCTCTGCAAATTTCAATCTTTTGACTGTTTTCAACTCTTTGTCGCCAGTACGAATTCGGGTTGTATTCGTGCTTTCACAGCTATTTCATTCTTGCCGTTGTCAGAGTCGCGCTCGGGTAATTTTTGGTTTTTTTTTATTATTATTGTCATTATATTTTCCCCCCAAAAAATGTAGCAAATCCAATTCATTGTTTTCATGTTTATGTGCAGGATAGGTGTTCAGTTTTTGTGCAGTTACATTACCCTTCCACTTTATGCACTTGTTACACAAGTAAAATTTTCTTTTTCAAACTGTTTGTTTTTGAAACTACTATAGTATATATTAAGTATTGTGTTTCGGAAAGTACGAAGAGTTTCTAAAAAATAGCTAAAAACGTTGTTTCGGTCGAGCCAGATGGGTACTCACATGAAAACAGCGATTTTCGACGAACAAACCACAAGGGCACTCAAGAAATGGCACAAGCAAGCTAAGAAGAAAACGGATTCACGTTCAAGAACATCGGACGAGATCAACAACATTAATCAAGAATCCGTTAAGAGGTCTCCCGACAAGGAAGCCGAAGAGTTAAGCATTGAGATGGATGACGAAGGGCCAAAAAAAGTCGATTTTCGAGGAGAAAATAGAGGTTCAAGGAAAAAAACTGGTGAATATGATCTGCTAACAGGCCCCTCATGACTAAGGCAAAAAATATTGGCATTTTGATGAGTATAGGTTGAAGCCACATTCTTGCTGCCAGTGGGTCTTGTGTTATGCTGTGTAATGGTTAGACAATCGTAATTTTTTTTTCAACAAATGTACATACTTTTGTACTCAATTGTCACGTTTCAAGATATATAATATAAACAAAAGTATGACATTTCATAGTACACGTACGTATTTCTTTTTTTTTTTTTAAAAAAACAATCGATAGATTCTATATCATAACTCAAAAAAGATACAAATGTTCCAACAACTACCGACTAACGACCAATGACAACCATGAGAGTCACACTCAGAAAGTGGACTAAACACCAAACAAAACACACTAGAGAGAGCGGGGATGCAGCCACCGATTCCTCCTCCGGCCAGCACCTACACCAGCAAGCTAAAACCAACAAAACCAACCTACTCATCTAAAGACAAAGCAACAGCTACCAAAAATTCAAAAAATTGTGTTGGTATACTTAGACAAAGAGAAACAAGGTTTATAATACAAAATTTGTGTTGGCAATCCCAAGTATTATTTATGTGGTAAATATTTATGAGAATATTATTAAAATAAATAATTTGTTTTTATCATTTTATCTATAGTTATGTGGTAAATATTTGTTTTTTTTTTTATCATTTTCTCTATAGTTAAAAATTAATATAAATGTAACATTTTATAAAATTAATTACTCGATTCAACAATTGTACGGTTATATGGAGTACAACTTTACGGACCGACCCAGTCAAGGTACGACTCGAATCGGGATCTATCTTACCCTCGGATTGATTCTAGCGCCCCATTGAACCGGAACCGATCTCACCTGAGATCGGTCCTACAAGTTAGCAGCACCGCATTTAACCGGGACTGATCCCACATAAGATCGATCCTACGAGCTAGCATCGCACCAAAGCCGAGATCAACCGCCGAGACTCCAGGGTTGATTCCACATCGAGCCGGCTTGGGTAAAATCCCTCAGAAATGACCGATTGGAGTCGCAACCCTAATTACGAGATATCCTTACAGAAGATAAATGTCTATATATATTGAGAACATTAACTACGATAGGTAAGATATATTTAATTCCCAATAATTACAATACTATTGTTCTTCCTCTTCCTACTTTCGAGTCTAACTTCAACTTCGGAGGGTTTTGTGTTGTAATTATTTTTACCAGAGTTAAATCAAAAGATTCAATCGATTCATAAAAATAGAACTGGTTTATGGACATGTCAAATCCCAAAACGCCCTTGCCTAACCCTATAAAATTTGTAATCATTTATATATAAAAAAATAATACTCCCTCCTATTTTTAATATTTATCATTCTAGCTTAATTGATCATTTGTTAAATAAATGTCGTTTTGACTATTTTGTTCATATTTTTTCTTTTTAACTCCTCCATCAATACTCATTGTCTCTTTATATTCCCAAGAACATCCATCCACAATTGTCATTAAATTAAATAGGGTTAAACTTGAAAAAAAAATATTTTTTAATTAATGTGTTGATAGTCAGGATGACAAATATTTAAAATAGGAGGGAGTATTTGTTAGAAGAGAAAATTAAAGTTACAGTTTCAAACTTTCATGTGAGAACGAAAATTAGGAAATGAAAGTTCAAACCCAAAAGCTTATAAAGCTGAAGTGTCGGGGTCAATTAGAAATAAAAGGGAATTTTTGAAAACACCCCAATAACACAAAAACGAATTTTTTAAATTCTCATTCTAACTTCTCCCAAATCGTAGGGTTTCTCAAAATCCTACTCCACTTTCTTCACCAGTTTCCCCTCCGACGCCGATTTCTTCTTCATAGTCATGTACTTGTACAGCCTCACCCTTCAGCAGGCCACCGGCATACTCTGCGCCATCAATGGAAACTTTTCCGGCGGAAAGCTCCAAGAAATCGTCGTTGCGCGCGGCAAAGTCCTTGACCTCCTCCGCCCAGACGAGAACGGTAAGCTCCAATCCCTGCTCTCGGTGGAAATATTCGGCGCTATTCGCTCGCTAGCCCAATTTCGCCTTACGGGCGCGCAGAAAGATTACATTGTCGTCGGCTCGGATTCCGGCCGCATTGTCATCCTCGAGTACAACAAGGAAAAGAATATCTTCGAAAAGATCCATCAGGAGACTTTCGGGAAATCGGGATGCCGGAGGATTGTCCCCGGCCAGTACTTGGCTGTCGACCCCAAGGGCAGAGCTGTAATGGTTGGTGCTTGCGAGAAGCAGAAGCTCGTTTATGTTTTGAACAGGGATACTGCAGCTAGGTTGACTATCTCGTCCCCTCTAGAGGCTCATAAGAGCCACACAATCGTCTATTCGATTTGTGGGGTGGATTGTGGGTTTGATAATCCTATATTTGCAGCTATAGAGTTGGATTATTCGGAGGCTGATCAGGATCCAACGGGTCAGGCTGGAAACGAGCCACAGAAGTATGTGACCTTTTATGAGTTGGATCTGGGTCTGAACCATGTTTCGAGGAAATGGTCTGAGCAGGTTGATAATGCTGCTAATTTGCTTGTGACTGTCCCAGGTGGTGGGGATGGGCCAAGTGGTGTGCTTGTGTGTGCTGAAAATTTTGTCATATACAAGAATCAGGGGCATCCAGATGTGAGGGCTGTTATCCCGAGGCGCGAGGACCTGCCAGCTGAGCGTGGAGTCTTGATTGTCTCGGCTGCTATGCACAGGCAGAAAACCATGTTTTTCTTCCTTTTGCAGACTGAATTTGGGGACATCTTTAGAGTGACCTTGGATCATGATAATGAAAGAGTGAAAGAGCTGAAAATTAAATATTTTGATACTATTCCTGTGACATCTTCCTTGTGTGTCTTGAAATCAGGGTTCCTGTTTGCTGCGTCGGAGTTTGGAAACCATGCCCTGTATCAATTTCAGGCTATAGGAGACGAGCCTGATGTAGAGTCCTCGTCGGCTACACTTATGGAAACTGAAGAAGGTTTTCAGCCTGTTTACTTCCTACCAAGGAAGCTGAAGAATCTGCTTAGGGTCGACCAAGTTGAGAGCTTGATGCCGATAATGGACATGAAAGTCATTAACCTATTTGAGGAGGAAACTTCTCAGATTTTCTCACTCTGTGGACGGGGTCCTCGTTCGTCTCTGCGGATATTGAGGCCAGGTTTGGCAATTAGTGAGATGGCTGTGTCTCAGCTACCAGGTGTTCCAAGTGCCGTGTGGACTGTTAAAAAGAACGTGAATGACGAGTTTGATGCTTACATTGTTGTTTCATTCGCGAATGCCACTCTCGTGCTTTCTATTGGCGAGACTGTTGAAGAGGTTAGTGACAGTGGATTTCTTGACACGACACCTTCCCTTGCTGTTTCCTTGATCGGGGACGACTCTCTGATGCAAGTCCACCCGAGCGGAATTAGGCATATTAGAGAAGATGGTCGTATTAACGAATGGAGAACTCCTGGGAAGAGAACGATTGTCAAGGTTGGGTCCAATAGACTTCAGGTTGTCATTGCCTTGAGTGGTGGGGAGCTTATATATTTTGAAGTTGATATGACTGGGCAGCTCATGGAGGTCGAGAAGCACGAAATGTCAGGAGATGTTGCCTGTTTGGATATTGCCCCTGTCCCTGAGGGAAGACAGAGGTCTCGATTCCTTGCTGTTGGATCTTTTGACAATACCATTCGCATCTTATCTTTGGATCCTGATGATTGTATGCAGGTCCTGAGTTTGCAGAGTGTTTCGTCTCCTCCAGAGTCTCTCCTGTTTCTTGAGGTTCAGGCCTCTGTAGGAGGGGAGGATGGAGCTGACCACCCGGCTAGCCTCTTTCTAAACGCCGGTCTGCAAAATGGAGTTTTGTTCAGGACAGTTGTGGATATGGTGACTGGCCAGCTTTCTGATGCCCGCTCTCGATTCTTAGGACTCAGAGCACCGAAACTCTTCTCCATTGTCGTGAGAGGACGGCGGGCCATGCTTTGTTTGTCGAGTAGACCTTGGCTCGGCTATATACACCAGGGGCACTTCCTCCTGACTCCTCTGTCGTACGAGACTCTGGAATATGCTGCGTCTTTTTCATCCGACCAGTGTGCAGAAGGCGTTGTTTCTGTTGCTGGGGATGCTCTGAGAGTTTTCACCATTGAGAGATTGGGGGAGTCATTCAACGAGACAGCTATACCTTTGAGGTATACCCCGAGAAAGTTTGTACTTCAGCCCAAAAGGAAGCTGTTGGTGACGATCGAGAGTGATCAGGGGGCATTCACTGCAGAACAGCGTGAAGCTGCAAAAAAAGAGTCGTTTGAGGCGGCTGGAATGGGAGAAAATGGAAACACTGAGCAGATGGAGAATGGTGAGGATGAGGAGAGCTCTGATCCGCTTTCTGATGAACAGTATGGTTACCCAAAGACAGAGTCTGGAAAGTGGGTTTCTTGCATCAGAGTTCTTGATCCAAGGACAGCACAAACAACATGTTTACTGGAGCTTCAGGATAATGAAGCTGCATTTAGCATGTGCACTGTAAATTTTCACGATAAGGAGTATGGGACTCTTCTAGCGGTGGGGACAGCAAAGGGCCTTAAGTTCTGGCCCAAAAGGTCAATCGAGGCTGGGTTTATACATATATATAGATTTAAGGAAGATGGGAAGGTCCTTGAACTTCTGCACAAAACACAAGTGGAAGGTGTTCCCCTTGCATTGTGCCAATTCCAGGGAAGATTGTTAGCTGGGATAGGGCCTGTGCTCAGATTGTACGATTTAGGGAAAAGGAGATTGCTCAGGAAGTGTGAGAATAAGTTGTTTCCCAACACTATCACGTCCATTCACACTTACCGTGATCGGATTTACGTTGGTGATATGCAAGAGGTATGTTCTCATAGCACCTACCTTATTTATGCATGCCATTGGTTATATCATCCTTTTTCCCCCCAATCTCACGATACTTTGAGAATAAGATGATGAATTTGACAATTAAGTGCTTCAGAAATATTATGTTTTCTTTTAATAATTACGTTGACATGATTTCGAAGTACTCAAAAGTTTACATTTCGGGCATTAAATGTTTGGCAGAACTAGTTATGTATTGCAGAATGTTTTTTTTTTTTTT